AACTCCTCGCTGTCATCCCGCCCGAGGCGAAATAATAACTTGCCAGGAGCAAAGTAATGATGTACCGTGTGGAGTACTAAAGGCCACCGTGGATCCTCCAAAGGAATCGTTTGCAGGGAACAATAGGGCGCACATTTCTCGGCCAAAACTATTCTAACAAAAATCAAGTTTCTCCTTTCGGCTACTTTTACTGTTTTAGGGTTGGTTGTCTCTGGTCAAGTACCAGCGCTCAACAACCCAACAACAACAGCAACAGCAGCAAGAGATGAAGAATCTCATATTCTTGGTAGCTCGACTGGTTTGCCTCGCCTCGCTCGCCACGTCGGTTCTCGCGCGGAACAGAGTCATCGTCGGGTATGACGACAATTATGTCAGCACCGAGGAGACCAGCCCCTATGGCGACACGGACGTAGGTCTGGGCGAGGCTTACAACATCGTCAGGTTCGTACGCTCGGCCGGCGCGAGCGTGATCAAGCTCACCTCTTACAACAACGATACGGCGTGGACCAACGCGCTCGCAGAGTCCAAGGTGCTGATCTTCCCTGAGGGCACCGACGGTCGCGACATCTCGAGCGACACGCGCCAGGCCATCATCAACTGGGTCTCCGAGGGCGGCGTCGTCGTGTTCTGTATGGGCGAGACCACTCTGGCCCGTATTCTCACAGCCCTGGAGCTCCGCCCCCTTGAGGCCAAGAGGGCTCTGAGCGGCGTTTGGGCCAAGAGCGAGGCGGCGCCGCATCGTCCCTCTTCAGCAGCGGACCAGCCCAAGTGATGGACCTCGACGCCGCCAGCTCGTGGGACCTCTCTGCGGACGTGAACAACGAGGTGGCGGGCCTCGAGTGCATGTACGGCACCGTCGACGACTGCGCGGTGTGGCAGTACGAGCAGGGCTCGGGCAAGTGGTTCGGCCTCGCACCGGACTTCTGGTTCTTTGGCGGGAGCTGTGGCCAGGATGGCGGGTGGAGGTCAGTCCTGAAGAGCGTGGTGGCGTCCAATGGAATCGCCTTGTATTCATCGGCGGCGCAGCTCACCA